CCCACCTAAGCCAGGGTGAGGGCAGGCAGTAAAACTCTCACTCTGCTTTGCCCTGAACTGTTATATACAGCCTTTGTGCTGATGGTGAATAACATCACAAAATCACTTTTAAGAGCAGCAGTCGGATGTGTGCCTGCTGTGTAGCACTGAAGCCTGTCTTGTTTTCTGCCTGGCTGTTGCCCCTTCTGCAGCACAACCAGAACAGCAATGTCACCTAGGAAGAGGCAAAGTCATGAGTGATTTATTCTTCCTTTTTGTGGTACTGCACCCTAGCTGCTGGGGGCAGTGAGGAAGCAAGCTGACGAGGTCTCTATCCTGGGCATCTTCTGGAGAGCTAGGGCTGCCTGTTTTACATGAACCTGGGCCAGATTGCAACCACAGGCAGAATTCATCCAAAATTTCAGAGGTTGTTTGTATAATTCCGATGAGAGGTTCAGCTGTGGGAAAACTGGAGGTCTAGCTTGGACCCAGAGCGTGCAAGTGAAAACATTGTTTTCACTTGTTTTGACACTGTCCCACATGACATCCTGGTCTCAAAATTGGAAACTCATGGATTCAATGGATGGACCACTCAGTGGATAAGGAGCTGGCTGGATGGCCACACCCAAAGGGTGGCAGTCAATGGCTCAATGTCCAGGTGGCAGCCAGTTACAAGTGGTGTTCTGCAGGGGTTGGTACTGGGACCAGTACTATTTAACATATTTGTTGGAGACATGGACAGTGGGATAGAGTGCACCCTCAGCAAGTTTGCTGATGACACCAAGCTTGGTGGCACAGTTGACACTCTGGAGGGAAGGGATGCCATGCAGAGGGACCTGGACAGGCTGGAGAGGTGGGCTCATGCAAATTGCATGAAGTTCAACCAAGCCAAGTGCAGGGTCCTGCACCTGGGACGTGGCAACCCCAGGCACGAATCCAGGTTGGGTGGAGAATGGCTGGAGAGCAGCCCTGAAGAGGAGGACTTGGGGGTGTTGATAGATGAGAAGCTCAACATGAGCCGGCAGTGCGCGCTGGCAGCCCAGAGAGCCAACCGTGTCCTGGGCTGCATCAGGAGAAGTGTGGCCAGCAGGTCTCGGGAGGTGATTCTGCCCCTCTACTCTGCACTCGTGAGACCCCACCTGGAGCACTGTGTCCAGCTTTGGAGTCCTCAACACAGAAAGGACATGGACTGGCTGGAACAGGTGCAGCAGAGGGCCACAAAGATGATCAGAGGGATGGAGCACCTCTCCTATGAGGACAGGCTGAGGGAGCTGGGATTGTTCAGCCTGGAGAAGAGGAGGCTCCGGGGAGACCTTATAGCAGCCTTTCAATACCTGAAGGGTGCCTATAGAAGAGCTGGAGAAGGACTCTTTGCCAGGAGGTGTAATGATAGGACAAGGGGAAACGGTTTTAAATTGGAAGAAAAAAGATTCAGATTAGATCTCAGGAAGAAATTTTTTTACTATGAGGGTGGTGAGACACTGGAACAGGTTGCCCAGGGAAGCTGTGGATGCCCCATCCCTGGAGGGGTTCAAGACCAGGCTGGATGGGGCTTTGAGCAACCTGATCTAGTGGGAGGTGTCCCTGCCCATGACAGTGGTGTTGGAACTCGATGATCTTTGAGGTCCCTTCCAACCCGAACCATTCTATGATTCTATGAAAACCTTCATTGGTATTATCTAATAACCAGACAGAGCAGCACTATTGGTTTAGTTTTACTCCTGCCAGAGGAGCGTGGGCCGGTGGTTCCCCCAGCGAGGTGAAGCTGCTGTTGAGCCGGCATTTCAGCGTGAGCAGTGCAGTAATAGTCTGCTTTGAGTGCCATTTTAATTAGCATTAATGGTTTTGGCCTTCACTTTATCTGTCAGATTTATTTGTTCTTTTATAAGGTAAGGACAGTAGTTCTAACTGCGAAATCTGTGTAATACGACACTTTTTATATCTTATTAACACTGGGTTTTGGACAGAGTAAGTTAGTTTCAGCTACTGCAGCTCTGCCTCCATTGGTTGTGGTGAAGTTACACCAGGAATGAATTTGAGACAGTATTTTTAGTAATATCTCTAGTATTCCTTTATTATTTGGACGTTCTGGGCCTGGAGGGATAACACTAGAGATTTCATTTTCTCATTGATAAGTATTTCATAGCTTTTTCTTTTCTAGGCAGAAGTCTGGGGGAAGAAGCATCTAGCAGGGCTGGCCTACCTACTGCCTCTGTCTCTCCCTCGGAGATTTTGGAAGGAGGAGCAAGCAGCCAGGTGACGCCTCTGAGTGCTGCAATACCCCTAGGATGGCCAGGCAGACCATTCCTCTGGCTCTGCCACAGACGTGTGCGCTCTTGGGAGAGCCACACACTCCTTCCCGTTGCCACTCAATTCCTGTTTTGCAACACTGAGCTTTGGGCAGCCTCGGTGGTCATGACTGAAAATGTTTAGAGTTTCCTCTTGTTGGACGGACTGTCCCCCAGCTACTTTTTCTCCCAAGAGAAGCTTTTCCTTATCTCCAGTATCTATAACAGAAGTCATCCTCCCCCGCCACCAAGTAACACACAACAATATCTTGTTTTCTAAGAACAGGGCAGCCTGGAGGAAGTGCTTGTGTATTTCTTAGAAATCTGATAACGGGATTGGCTCTGAGCATGAAAATACATATGACCTGAAATGCCATTGTGGGATATCTCACGGATATTAAGCACAACTGCTGACCCCAGTCTGTAAATATTCAAAGGGCTGCATATGGGGCATGACCTTCCTTGGGAACAGTCATGCAGGTTGCCTTGGAGTTCCTGTGTCTGGGTGTGTAACTGAAATATAGCAATAAATTCCTTGAGAAATGACAGTATTACCTTATATGATACCAAAGCAGTCTCATGAACATAGCTAAAACACCTTGGCAAGGCAGAAGGCATGTGCCTGACTGTCTTACACCTTTTTTTTCTGTTCAGAGCAAAAGCCTGAGTACATGCCTGCACGCAAGTATACACACACAAACAATTAATGCTATTTAATCTTTAAACAACAGCAAACATGCTATTGATGTAAATGGGAACATGATCAAACCTGCTATCAGGAAGAGAAGATGCTTTATCAGTAGAAAATGCAAAATGTACATGTCTGTTTCACTTCTCACTTTTGTTGGTTGTGAATATGATATCTGAGCTAATGAACTCTGTGCCACCATGGAAGTGTCTGTTGCTTCCACTTAGGGATAAGTCCTGTATGTCCAGGTGTATCTGAAATATGTACATTTCCAGACAGATTTTGCTGTTTCAGAGAATCATGGGTTTGTCTGACATTTGTCCATTGGTCCCCAGAGGATGATTCTGAGAATGGTTATGAGCTTCAGGGTCTTCTTCCAAAAGTGGTCCGGAAAAAGGTTGACCATCAGTTGTTTGGATCTGATAGCATTCGTCTGACATTGTATAAATTCTTGGGCAGCTGACAAAATGCCATGGCTCAAAATAGAAATCAAACAGTCCGATGAGATGGTCTGTTCCCCATAACTTCTTTCACAGGGCAGTCAGTGGTGACCCCTGAGAAACCAATTCATGGAGCTGCGTATTTCTCCTAGAACCACTTTACATTTAGGACTCTGGCCCATGTCTACATTACACTTCTCTTAGTAGGACAGTTTACATACAAAACCAGAGAAACTCTTCAGGGAGGTTTCAACGTGACTTTCCAAGCTGTTTCCTGAAGCTGCAAAATAATGATGATGCATAAAATATACCTGTCTATTATTAAGCTCGTATGTGATTTCTCATCTCCTGCCCAAGTCTCTTACCAGGGAGAACTGGATGTGGGTGTGTTTGCAGAGCTCAGACACTTGAGTCTGACCCATCCGTGCCCTGAGGAGGCTGTCGGGAGCCTCCCAAGGCATCTGGAAATTCCAGGGGGAAAAATATCAAAGTTTTGTGAAAACAGTAGAAAGGATTGTTATTCCTCAGCTGTTCTTTAGCTTATTTACTATCTCTACTTTATTTACCATCTGCAAGGGCAGAAAATTTTTGTTATTTTTCTTATCTTGTAAATTCTCCTGCTATTTTTTTATTCTTAGACTTGGAGTTTTTATGCCTGTGGACAATTAAAATCGGCGTGTATACTTCTGTGCTGAAGACTGCCTGTTTCAAGCATGAGAAATTATACATAAAAATGAACATGTAGACATCAAATAACTATTACATTTTTCAGCTTTGACAACAATTTTTAAGGGAATTTTTTAACCCATTCAGTTTTGAAGAAGGATTCTCCTGTACTCTACTGACTCTCCCCCTCCAATGCCAAATTCAAGCTAGCCAACCATAGAGTCTGTATTTGATGTCTGAAAGATCTTCATTTTCATATGTGAGACAAAAGAAAATTAACATTCTTCCTTTTGGCTGTTCGTTACATTCCCATATATATTAAACATATGTGTGGCATGTCCCACTGGTGGGCTCTCTTTCACAAAATCATGTGTGTTTGGACCCACAAACATGTGTTACCTCAGTGTGACTTTCCCGATGATTAACAATGCGAGGTTTACTGAGAGGGATGTTACCTTTAATTAGACAAACTGATCCAGTACTGATCAAAAACCAGATCAGGTGTCAGACACACAAGGCTTTCTGTATGTCTGAAACAGGAACAACAAACTGGAAGATAAATGCATGTGGAAATGAAGTTAATCATCCCATTTCCATAATTATGATATTTTTTGTCTGTGGCGTGAAGAGATGTCAACAAGGTTATAGGACTCTTAATACCCAGGAGGGGACACAGGATTAATGACTTTTGCTTCTAGAGAGTCATTTCTGAAGTAGGAGAGGTTGTATTTAATACAGCTGTAATACAGCTGTAAGAAGAAAGATAGTGTGACACACGCTCTCCCTGGGTCACTCCAGTGGCTTCAGTGCTCTAAACCGCATTTGTTTCAAAATGAAAGCTGAAAAAAATACAAGTCAATCAGATAACGTCTCCGGATACATCACGTAGGTAGGACATGGATCATTAGTCATCATTATTCGATGATCTTTGCAGGATACTCCTTTCTCTTCTTCATGCAGGCTGCAGGTTTCATACGGCACGCTCACTTCCAGGGGCGGCATTCCCGCAGGCTAATCGGAACCAGCTGCTTGCCTACAAGAAAAACAACAGAAGGAAGAGGTCATCAAAGTTAGATTTTTGCAGCCAGAGGAGACGTGCCTTTAGAGGTGGGTATAGCTTTGCCAGCAATATTTACCTTTCATTTGTCATTAAAACTGCTGCTTTTTTTTTTTTTCCTTTTTTTTTTCTTTTTTTTTTTTTCCTGGGGACATAAAAGAGCTAAGCTTTCTTGAGCATGGTTGTACTGATGCACACAAAATACTCCAGCCGCTGTAAACAACCAATTGTTGGTTTTTTTTTTTTTTTTTTTTTTTTTTTTTTTTTTTTTTTTTTTTTTTGTTTTTTTTTTTTTCTTTTTTTTTTCCTTTTTTTTTTTTTCCTGGGCAGCTACAAGGTCTAGTGGCCCTGTTTCTGTGGAGAGTGAGTGCATTTCAGCCCTTTCTGGCAAACAGTAATGGCTCTTTTCCCCTTCAGAAAAGCAAACCCATTGAACTGCACTGCCAGAGGCCTGACCTTATCCCAGTATTTTTAGAGGAGCTTGAAGGAGGTGTTAATAGTGAGAGAAGACATGTCAAACTAAACAGATTCATCCCTTGAATTTCCTACTTGGAGCTGAGGAGGCCTTGGCAGGAGTATGCATTGGCCTCTTCACTTTGTGAAAGGTGGAGCCAAACAAGAGCCATAAGATAATTAGAAAATATTATCTGTACTCTCCTAGAGGTACTCAGTTTAGAAAAGAGAAGGTGCAATCGCACATAAATTTTAGAACAGGTTACAAATAGTTCAATGATCTGTTGTTATGTGCCTGTGATAAGGAGTGAAATGGGAGGAAATAATTTTCATTTTCATCCAAAAACTTGAGAGAAGAAGTCTGCCCTGGGAGGTGGAGCAGGGGACCTAGCAAAGCTGACAGAGGGACTCCCGGAGGCACTAGGAAGGAAACTGTGGTTTTCACTGCTTCATTGAAAAGGAACTGTGATGCCACCGTGGTATTTTCCTGCGGTGGCTTCTTGGGGCTTGCAGACAGCAATACAAAGGGCCAGGGTTTTTAGAGAAAGTGAAGGTGCAGTTGGTGGGGCTGAAATCCTATGTCTCAGTAAGGTGAGGGGAGACCCAGTGTCAGAAGGGAATGAATGAGCATGGAGGCAACTGGAGCTGCAGCTGGGAAGCAGAAGAAGGGAGAGATGGCCAACATTGCCTTGTCTGTACAGAAGAGAGCACAGTAAGGCCCAAGCAGCTCTTGAACACCTCATTGGGGTCTGGTCATTCAGGACTGCACTAGAACCCTGTAAACTGTCTCAGAGGTGGAGAATGAATGCTTGTCTTCCTCTGAGGCCAGGAAGTTGTGATTAGCATCACGAAATGCTTGCAGTTATCCACAGTATAAACCATGAGGTTTTCCAGAGTTGGGCTGTTGCTGGGTTGGATCCCACCAGGCACTCTGTGAAGATGCCCGACTGCTCCAAACAGTAGCTCACTGTGGTGACCTCCTTTTTTTTTCAGCTACTTTGTGTCCTTAGAAACAATTCCAGTTTTAATGAAGAAGCATCACTAGTGTGCAGATTTCTTTAAAACTATAGTGTTTTATCAGAGTCCTTAATGTTATGACACCCGTTCAGAAATCTCAGACAACTCCCCGACAAAACTTTCAGTATCATGGAATTATAACTGAATCAAGCATTGCCATTAGCTTCAAAAAGCCCTGTCCTTGACATTTTCAGCAAGTTGCTATCAGCAATTACTTCAGCCTTAGGACTCCTACCTGGCCAGTGTTCCTATGAGTTTCACGTTAAATTCAGCTTTAGACAAGCACAAAATCCCATGGGAAAGGTTTGTGAACACTGAGCCACACCTAATTTTTTTTTCATCTTAGCAATGCAAGCAGGTCCTTATGCTTTGAAAGAGCATGAGCTATGCCTCCAAAAACAGGCCTGTGTTTGACCCGAGTCAGATGCTGCTTCTGAACTTCAGCAAAAGCATTCATCGATTTTAGATGCCAGGGCAACCCAAAGTCAGGGTATTTTTGTATCATCTCTGGTTTTCCCTTGAACACTTCTTACTTACTTAAATTGCATCACTCTACAAATGAACTGTGTAAGATTTTAGAACTTCTCTGTTGCCTTTGAGCATTTCACATGTTCTTATTAAAAAGGCAAAAAATGATTTAGCTATAGAAGGGCAGAGGCCTGCTAATATTATCTGCAATCTAAGCAAGGAGTGAATCACAATAAATACTATCATTGCTAGATGGCCCAAATATCTTTTTAATATTATTGCGGTTTGACCATAGTTTGCTTGCAACAGATCATGAAACCATAGGCAGTGATATCAATTAACAGGTATGTTAATGAGAGGAAAATTCTTCAACCTGATCTCACCTTTATGACATGTCCCACCATAGAAGACCCCTTAGATACTTGTTGATGTTGCCGATGTGCTGCAGTACAAGGACAGACAGAATAATCATGGTAACGTGCAGTCCTCCCCTGAGAGACACGAAGACATCTTATTGCCCTAACCTCGAGCTTGACACGTCTGTCTGATAGCTCTTGAGGAAGGAAACAGTGAAGGAAATAGAGCAAAATATTGAAGAGGGAAAGCACTAGACAGGAATTTCAGAAGTGGCTCAAAGTATGTTCCAACTACAAGGGAGGTTTTAGAAGGAAGTGAATTAAAATAACTGCTCTAGCATTCTTTACATAGTCTGCATTATTCCAGAAAGGATACATCGAAAGTATTTATTTTAATTAAAAATAACAAGATTCCAGGGTAAGAAAACCAAAGCTTATAGCATCAGCAAAAAAATGGAAAAATATAGGGACAAGGGAATAAATCCAGCCAAAGTTTAATATACAGCATAGCCTAGGGCTTGATTGCATTCACAGAAGACTGAACTTAAGATAATGTAATATAATAACCATTTAAGGGTTTCATAAAATAGTAGTTTTGGAATAAAAAATAATGTAAGTGTAGAAATGTGATAAAACCTTGGAGATCACATATCTATGTGCTTGAACTGCTGAATGCAATTACATTTTTTTCAAATTTGTGCCCCACTGTACGCCAAATATGTTTGTGTAAAAAAATACTTGCCGTGTTTGTCTCGTTATTAACAGTTTAATCCCTGCTTGTGCCTTTTGCTTTTGTGCCCTTCAGATGTTTAGAGTGTTGGTGCTGACTTCCTGGCGACTGCAAGGAGGTCAGACTGCCCGATCCATAGGTGACAGCTCCCACTTGTCCTGCTCATCACTCCTTCAGATACATCATTTCATAAATGGATAGCAGGGTGGTTCTCCTCCTCAGGGCTGGCTCATGACCTTTCTGAAGCAAACAGATGTTATACCACCTACCTGATTATGAAGGATGTGACTTTGGGCTGTGTCTGTGTAGTTAAAACATCTGCCAGTGTTTTTTATAAGGGTATTGGTAAATCCAGTGGAACGGAGAGAGACTTTCTTCTCCACCTCACAGAAGCCTTTGGTGTGTCTCAGGTTACTGTTTATCTTTCTAGTGAGGAATAGTCCCAGTCATGGGATCAGAACTCCGTGTGCTTGATGCTAATTTCTCACTCAAGCAACAGCATTTTTGGCACTGTGGCCAAAGGAAAATCCCAGCCCAGGAGTACCTGCAACCCCAGGTGGACATGGAACAAGCATTTGGCAAATTTTATTGCCCATCGTGATGCCAAACCCTGGGAATGGGCTGTAAAAAAAAAAATTAAAAAAAAA